GGTAGAGCGCTCGCCTTGAGCTTAAGAGCACATAGACAGTGCCAGAACTGACCAAAAACAAAACAAAACAAAAAGATAAAGTGCACATAACACAACATTTACTAACTTTATACTTCTATTCTTTTTCTTTTTTTTTGCTAGTCCTGGGCACTGTCCATGAGCTTCTTTCACTAAAGGCTAGTACTTTACCACTTGAGCCATAGGGCCACTATTCTGCCTTTTTCTGTTTATGTGGTACTGAGGAATGGAAGCTAGGGCTTCATGCATGCTAGGCAATACTCTACCACTAAGCCACTGAGGTTTAAACACAGGGCCTGGGCATTATCTCTCAGCTTTTTCACTCAAGGCTAGTGCTCTACCACTTGAACCACAGTTCTACTTCCAGCTTTCTGGTGGTTAGTCTTATGGACTTTCCTTCCCAGGCTAGCTGCAAAGTGTGATCCTCAGATCTAAGCCTCCAGAGTAACTAGGATTACAGGCATGAGCCACCAATGCCTGACCTTTTTAAGTCTTTTTTTTTTTTTAATTTTAGTAGTACTAGGGGTTTGAACTCAGGGACTCAGACTAGCTAGGTGGGTGATCTGCTGCTCAAGCCACATCCCAGCTTTCCCATTTTAAATTTTATCTTCCTCTTCTGTTTTCTTTCAGGCTGGTTCTCTACCCCTTGAGCCATACCTCCTGTCTGGCATTTTGCTGGTTAATTGGAGATGGAGTCTCAGACTTTTCTACTTTGGCTGGCCTCAAACTATAATCCTTCAGATTTCAGCCTCCTGAGTATCTAGGATTACAGGTTTGAACCATTGGTGCCCAGCTGCACTTGCCTTTTAACTGTGCTTGGTTCCATGAGGTGAGGTACATATTTCTCCTCTCACGGTATCAAAGATTTACAGATTTTTGGAGCTTTTAGGATTTCTGGATGAAGGATGCTCAACTTTGGCCTGCATTTCAATCCTTTCCTCTTGCTCTTGGTGTCTGTGGCTGGAGGTAAATCCTCCTTTACTTATGGGTCATCTGCAATCTCCCCTGTGGTCGACCACTTCTGTTTTTCATCTTCCTGCTTTGTCTTGAGATCTATTTTTTCTATGTGAGATTACATCCATTCTCATCATCCCTTTCTGCTCCTTTGGTTCTGTCTGTCTGTGATTTTTCTTCTCCCATCTGTGTTCCCTCTGGGCCATCCTTCCTTTTTTGTATGTGTATGCCGGGCCTGGGGCTTGAACTCAAGGCTTGGGTGCTTTCTGAGGTTTTCTGGTTCAATGCTAGCACGCTACCACTTGAGCACCACAGCTCTGCTTCCTGCTTTTTGTGAAGTAAACTGGAGATAGGTCTCGCCGCCATTTTTTTTGGTCTGGGCTGGACACTCTACTTTGAGTTAGAGACAGGAGTATTTGGGTTTCTCTGTTGGCTTCGCACCTTGATCCTCAGATCTCAGCCTCCTGAGTAGCTAGCATTACAGAATGAGCCACCAGCGCCCAGCTTATAGGGGAACTCCTGATGAAACCCTGGACTCAGGATGAGTTCCTTGAGGAGCCTGTGGGAATTTACACCTCTACCCAGAGCCTCTTCCACTGTCCTCAGAGAGTCTAAAGGAGACCATAAGGGTGGCTTTGTGGATGGTTTCGAGCAGACGCCACAGGGACACAGGGACATGGATGGGCTTTCTCTCTACCCTTCTGCCTGATCCCTGACTACTGTGTGATGTTAGGCAAAAGATTTTCCCTTTCTGAGCTTGGAACCATTTTGTCCGTAAGGAAAGGAAGGCAAAGGAAGGCCCTGGAGTAGAAGGAGGCGGCTTGTTTAGTATGCTAGATGGCCTGGGCGTCGCTTAGTAACAGCAGAGTCTCCATGCCTACTTGCTGTCTGTGGCCCTAGCAGAGGCCACCGATGCAGTGAGCACATACACATACAGTCCTGGATCTCTCCGGGCCTCTGGGGAAAGGAGCTGTGACAGGGACCTACAGTTCACAGGAAGACAATTCAGCTCCGTTCTAGTTTTATTGGATGTTGGGGCAGGGCCATTGGTGGTAGTGATGTGGTGTCTAGAGTCCTGTTACCTCCGGAGACTCTGTCCAGTTGACCAGAGGAATGGAAAGAGGGTGAGCAGAGGGAAGGGGCTAGAGACAGATCATCAGCCCTCCCACTGATGGGTGGGGCCCTCCCAGTCTCTGCCGAGCTGGCCCAAGCAAGGGTCTCTGCTCCAGCCACCCACAGAGAGTGCAAGTGCTGAGCACAACCCCTCATGGCCAGTCTTCATGCTGGTTATGTGGTTGGGATGTGCCCATTGGCCAGCCGCCCAGCTGCCCGGCTCCGGGGGCCATTACTGGGGATAGCCCCAGGCCCTTGAGTCACCCCATTCTTCAGCTGTGGACCTTTGCGTGCCACCTCATCATCGCTGTAGTCAGATTCTTCCTCATCACTGCGGACATCCTTTCCCAGCTGGGGAAACAGAGAGATGTAGCTAGGAATGGGCGGGGCCCTAGTGGGTGGAGCTTAGGATGGGCGGGGCTTAGCTGGGCGGAGTTGAGTGGGCAGGTCTCAGAATGAGTGGAGTAAGGGCAGTGGGCTTACCTGGGTAGAGCTGAGTGGGAGGGGCCCAGAGTGAGGGGTTGGGGGTAGGCTCAGAGCAGGGAGGATATTGGGGTGGAGTGGGGCAGGGCCGGGGAGGCCCTGAAAAGCACATGCAAGCTAACTCTTGGGCAGACCATACCTGACCCTTCCTCAGGACGTTGTAGATCATGCGCAAAATGAGGCAGAACCAATACACATGTAACACCTGCAGCATTATCAGAAGCGTATTGAAGAAGTAGTAGCCAAAGAAGGGGCTGCTGTTCTCCACAGACTCGAACAACGTAGTGTAGAGGATCCTACAGTAGGAAAGATGAGTTGTTTGTTTGTTTTTTTGTCGGTTGTGGGGCTTGAACTGTGGACCTGGGTGCTGTCCCTCAGCTCTTCAGCTCAAGGCTAGTGCTCTACCACGTGAGCCACAGCGCCACTTCTGGCTTTTGGGTGGATTATTGGAGATAAGAGTCTCATGGACTAGGCAAGTCCATGCTGACTTTGAACCGTGATCCTCAGATCTCAGCCTCCTGAGTAGCTAGGATTACAGGCATGAGCCACCGGCGCCTGGCAGGATGAAGTTTTATTTTTATTTTTGGTCAGTCATGGGGCTTGAACTCTGGGCCTGGGTGCTGTCCCTCAGCTCTTCAGCTCAAGGCGAGCGCTCTACTACTTGAGCTACAGCACCACTTCTGGTTTTCTGGTGGTTTATTGGAGATAGGAGTCTCACGGTCTCTCCTGCCCGGGCTGGCTTTGAACCGTGATCCTCAGATCTCAGCCTCCTG